TTTTGAAGTGAGATTGTTACCTATGTCGTCAATATAGATGAGAAACAAAAGCGGACCAAGTATACTCCCTTGAGGTATTCCACAATTAATTCTGATAGGATTTGATTGTTCACCCCCGACCATTGTCATGATTTGACGATTAAGCAAATAATCCTCAAACCACGCCACTAGTTCAGAGCAAACGCCCTTTTTCCTTAATTTGTAGATTAACCCCTTATGCCAAACTTTATCAAAGGCTTTCTTAAAGTCCAGGAAAACCACTTCAATATCTTTATCAGATGCTTTGTCCTCATAAATACTGTGAACAAGCTCTACCAGCTGATGAACAGTGGAGTGTTTCTTTCGAAAACCCGACGAAAAGACAGACAGGAGTTTATTCACGCTCAAATATTGGTATAATTTACTGTAGACGACTCTCTCGATAACCTTTGACAAGGCCGGCAGTAACGTAATTGATCGATAGTTATTAGGTAGCTTATGATCCCCATCCTTGAACAATGCAGTCACGCAACCTGACTTCATAGACTCAGGGAATATTCCATCTTGCATTGAACTACGACAGATATAAGCAACATCTTCAGCGATTATCGTTGAAGACTCACGCAGCAAACGGTTATTAATTCCTGGAGCAGTCGCTTTATTAACATCAAGATGAGAGAGAATGTCTTCTGTTTCTTGAGCAGACACAAAAAATAGTGGGAGAGTAAAAGATACGGCAGGAATATTATTAAGAGGAATGGGAGCATTATAATCTGCAAAAGACATACTGCACACGGAAGCAAAATGCTCATTCAACAATTGAGCCTTATCTCTGTCCTCATGAACTAACTGTGAGCTGGTGTTCTGAAGAACAGGTATGGATGATGTACAAGTTCTACGCATGTTGTGATTAACAAGTTTCCACCAGTGTTTACTGCCACTATTTACCAGATTAACTCTGTTAAAGTGATTCAACTTAGCCTTAATATATTCTTTGTCAAATCTCCGTTGAGCGTCATTATAAAGTTGTTTACTTTTGAGCGACCCACTTAATCTGAACCGTCTGAAGAGTCTGTTCTTCAGCCTACAGAAGTCTCTTAGCTCGTTAGTGAACCAAGGCTGGTCTCTACTGTGTATCTCTACCAGTTTTTGTGGAATAGTTTTCTCCGCTACTTTCTGAATAGAGTTCAACAACAATTCGCATTTGGAGTCAACATCCGAATTAAAAAACTGATAAACATTGTTGTTGAGCTCTTGTTTTAAGAGATAACGATAGTGATCGCAGTCGACTACTTTGTAATTCCAAATTTTTCTCACAATTGGTGGCTTGACAGCTAGTGTAGTATTCAATTTGACAAGTACTGGAGAGTGGTCACAAGTCTCGCACAACAACGGTAAAACTTTAACACTTTCAATAAGACTCAGGTTGTTCGTGATTATTAAATCAAGGCATGTTTCAGAGACTAATCGAGTAGGCTCCTTAACTAACTGGTGTAGCCGCGCTCCGTTTAGAAAAGAGAAAAATTTCCCTCCCTCTGGTGTAGATGGCTTTGTGTTGCACCACTTTTTACAGTGAGCGTTGAAGTCACCAAACAACAGAAGACCAGAAAAAGTTCTCAGAGAGAAGGCCCTACCTATAGAATCAGTCAAAAACTGCATGTACTCCTCAAATACTTCTGCAGTAGACTGGGTTCTGTATGACAAGACCAGAAGAACATTCCCCATCCCAGCAATGGTCAGTACAAAAAACATAGTTTCAAATTTTTGATTATCAAAGGATAAAAGTCGAGTGTAGATCACATCGTTACGTACATACAGCAGACATCCGCCATGTTTATCATTTCTATCGAATCGAAGACTTGTGTAATTTGTTATTTTTATATCATCATCGCCGGTATTTTTATTTAGCCACGATTCAACTATAGCTACAATGAGCGGTGTTTCAGACGAAACTAAGACTCTCAATTGATCGTATTTAGAAATAAGACTTTTTTCTTTTCTTTTTTTTTTGAAAGCAGACGAAAAAAGACTACGTATATTTAACAATACCGTAGAGTGTGTGTTGCCGCTCTTTGTTACTGTCTTATGTGACATCCAACAAAACGAAAAAAGCCCACCATAGGATTGTTACCACTAGTCCGTCAGCCTTAGAGAGAAGAGAAGAAACACATGTTTGATGATTTAAGACGATGAGAAGAGAAGAAAATATATATATGTATATTTTCAGTAGAAAACAGAAACAATGAAGAGAGAAAAATCTGTCAGCTTTCATGCTATGGTTTCAACTACTCTTTGTATATACTCCACATGGATAAACAAAAAACACAATGAGGTAAAATAAATCGTATCTACCTAAAGTGAAAAAGTTATGGAGAAGAAAAATGAAATTTTTGCAGAAGAACTAACTGAAAATAACAAAAATGCTATTTATCACTGCAAAAAATAATCAATATTGTCATACGAGTCAATAAAACCAACCTTTTTATCTTCATATTTGTACATGACACGCCCATTTCTCGTAAATGCATACTTTCTATCGTCCTCTGCTAATCGATACCTCAGCTCATCAAGTAAATGTTTGTCGACTTTTGTGAGATCTTCATAGATGACAACAGCACTAGACTGCTTCACCTCTTTTCGTTTGATCAATAGCGAGCGACGTTTAACACGGGAATGGAAACGAGCAATTACCACACGATTATATCCTGGTTTGCCTGGACCCAGTCTGTGTGAGATCTCGATATCATTTTCAGTTATTTCCGTTAGACCAACTTTTTGAGCCAATGCGACAATTGCTTGAGACGAGTGTTCTTGTTCGTCAATCCCAACAAATCGCAGATTGAATTGTCTTGAATGTCGCTCGCGCTTATTCATCTCAAAAGCCATATTCTCTTGATTTTGTTCAATGGCAGTTAAGCGTTGTTCAATTGCTGTCAGACGTTTTTCCACTGATTTCATGACAGATGCGTGCAAAATGTCGACAATACCACTGTAATTATTACTTGATAATTTCAACGACGATAACTGTTCTTTAATCTCCGGGTCGTTGAGCACATCCTTGATGTCGTTTTTAATCAAATCCTATTGACAATATCGGATAGATCAGGAACAATCTTGGGTTTCATAGTACCAGTTCGACGTGACGTAAAATATTCAGTTTTTTTATCGGTAGAATTAGCCATGAGAGAGTACACGTTAGAGTAGTTATAAATTAAGAAAACATATATGATATATACGTCTATCTTGTTCGTTCAATTCGTATGATTGATGCGCTTCACAAAGTTATAGAAAAAAGAGGCGATGACTGTTATCTTGATGAAAACTCTAGAAGTCAGGCATTTATATTCATATAACGGATTTACCAGAGGAAACAAGTCACTTAGTATTTCGGCAATATCTCTGTCGATTTTCATTCCCACGACTCGAACTTCGTTTTAAACGATTCTCCACAAAAACTATATTGAATATTTTTTATACATGATATAAATAAAGGAATATAAGATGCACATAAGGCAAAAATGTAGTGAAGAAAAAAATTTGCCGTTTTTTTTAGCCTATCCGATAAAGAATTTGACGTTGATCACGAATATGTGTCTTTTACGTTTTTTGAAAACGTTTTTTCGATCGAAAAAATCCAAAAACTTCGGACTACTCTAAAAAGTGAAAAAATCAAGTTTTCAAACAAATGGCGC